GTGTGTTAGTGCTAGATGCTGCATCTTGATACATAGTCAAATTGTGTCACTGTCCAAGAAGACTGAGCCCAGGAGAGAGCAGCTTCCAAGATGGAATAGGTCATGCTAACAAGTCATGCTAACGAGGACAGCAGTTTCTGAGACAGACTCATTGCTGCTCTGAAAGATAAAACAGCAGAGTAATAAATACAATATCGCCTAGCTGTGGCCTACTTTAAAATGCTAAATTACTGAGGAAGCCTCTGTGTCTTCATTTGTTCTAAACATAGGGGATTTAGGGCCACAGAAGCGTAAACTCATCCACAAGACAAAGAGCGTGATGTTACAGGAGATCACGCAGGGTCAGTTCACTCCACCTCCACACTGAGGCGCCGGGGAGTAGCAGAGCCTCATGTCCACCCGCTCATTTAATCCACTTCATCATCATCACCATCAGCCCGCTCATTTAATCAGCAGTGGTACAACACCACCATGAAGGTTAATTCACATTATACTCACATTAACCCAGGTGTTATGTCTGCGGCAACAGCACATTAACCCATATGTTGTGTTCATGTTACTTTTTAATATTTTTGCATTAGAACTCAAGCTAGGACCAGATTGTCTTCATTTTCAGACCCATAGAACTGCTTGCGAAGTACAGCTCATTAATGAATCACCATCAGGACTGTGGCAAGTCCGTATTGTGGGAACTGAGTGACAAGGCATGGCAATTTCTCCTGGCCGGGAGGAAGTCACTCTCCCTGTGGACGGAGCTTGACCCCCCCACAATGTACATCTCCTTGCTTTTTCTACATTTACACCAAATAGTTTTCCTTCAAGGTCACTTTCCCCAAAGTTCCCTAGTTGGCCATAATAACCAGCTTTGTTAGCGATTTTCCACACCTTTGTGATTATTTAGTTCCTAATGTCCACTTGGCCCAGTGGATCATTTCGTCGTTTGGGAGGCTGTGGTATCTCTTCCTGCATTGACATGAGCCAGCGCACCCCTTAATATCTCTGCTGCCCCTACTACCGTCACGTTTTAAAGCATTAACTATGTGTAGTTTAACTAGTTTGGAAAATCCACCTTATCAGTATTCTTATTTTAAGAAAATGTAAGTTATGACTGAGCAGTGAAAGCCTTATTTAAGCTACATTAAAATAAACAGCAGAATAGGCAGCGCAGCAGCTTCACAGCACCAAGGTCGGAGGTTCGATTCCTGTGCCAGACTATCTGTGTGCAATGTTTGTATGTTCTCCGGATTTGCGAGATTCCTCTATGTACTCCTCCCACAGACCGAAAATAGGCAGCTAGACAGTCCAGCATCTCCAATTTGGCCCTAGTGTGTGATTATGTACGACCAGGAATGTCTACGTGCTACCAGAAGTTCTCCTGCCTGCTGCCCCGTGCATCTCAAAAAAGGTCCTAGACTCACCTAGACCCGGTATTGGATAAGCAGGTATGGAAGATGGATGGGTGTATAAAATGCAGATCAGAATAAGAATGAGCCTCGTGTTCATTTTGTCGCCAGTCACACACCAAAGCAGCTCCGGGCTCAGAACAGCACCCGTGCAGAACCACGCAGGGTTCTATTCAGACACAACGCAGTGGCATAAAGACACATGTATTTAAACAGGCATAACACACCATATGCTGTATACATATGTGACACCTGTCAGTTTACATGTAACATACTCTCAGAAGTTAAAGACAGATCAGTACAGTAAACAGATTTTGTGCTTAGAGGTTTAGTCAATGAGTGAAAATAAAGGCAGTCTGGATTTAACTATAACTATAAAACACAGAATATCTTGACCAAAATATATTTCTTACTTCTAAAATTGCCGTGTACATACCTAGTGTATGTATATTTCATGTAAACTAATATTAATAACTTTTATTGATCATTAAACATTGATTATGTTGTGCTTTCTTCTGATTCTGAGTTAGATTCTTCCAGAATGCTCCCAAAAGCACGAAGACATTAGTGATATTTTACCGTGATGGTTACTGCTGGTAGAGCAGAGATGTACAGACAGACCATAAACTGCACTACAGTCTAGCAAAGCAAGTGTGAAAGCTGGCACATGTATGTACATCTCATATTAGGTAAAGTTATCTGTGGTCTCAAGAAGGAGTCTTCTAGAAAACACCTGAGCAGCTGAAAAGTCAATATTGTGAAAAGAATGCTACGAACCCACACTTTACTGTATTGGGCATCTATTCTAGCATTTTGGACACATCCAGACAGTTAAGAACATCGTTAGATGGTGCAAAAATCTCCATGCTGGAGCTGCTGTATATGGCCTCTGTCTTACAGTTATTGCATATTGTGCTAAGTCTACACATACGAAAGGACACAAACGGATGACATTTACAACATAGTGTGCATCTCTCTACACGGTACACGTGTGCGAGTGCATGTTGGCTTACGTTTACTACACGTATGTGAGACACTGTGCGCATGATTTTGTACATGTCTGTTTCTGAACGCTGGTAGAGTTTTGGCAGCACCGTTGACACTGGCGATGGCTCTCCAGAAGATCCGGTGGGTGTGTCTACAGCAGGAAGCTCCACGCACTGGGGGTCCGTCCATACTGCGGCAGAGGAGAGCACAGAAGACCCGGAAAGGTCACATTGGGTGAAGGAGCTGCCAAATAACTGTATGTTTACTATATTCTGGGCCATAATGGTGCCCCGAAAGGCAGTGGATGACTGGGGAAACGCCTGCGCAGACCCACAGGCTGATGGAAATATCCATCTGCAAATCTACACACTCCGTGGTGAGAAAATCTGAACTAAATGTTCTAAATCCACGACAAGCGTAGAGGCAAATCCAATTATTTGCGTCTCGCGTACTAAATTCACTCTGACGGACTGAATGCGGGAATGAAACAACCGCCCGCGTAGACAAACAAAGGCAGCCAATTTCTAATTAACATGAAAGTGACACGGGGGGCTGGGTGGGGGGGAGCCTCCACACACCGCCCTGCCACCCCCCCCCCCCCAGACCCCACGCTCCTTTGTGCAGCTCCAACTCGGCTGATTCAAACGGCAGCGGGTCCGGCGTCACGGCGTGTGCCGCGACGTTCGGCGGATTTCGCCAGGCCTTTGTCGGGATGGCCTTGTTTGTTGCCGTCCGACCTTTGAAGTCCATGAAAGCTGAGACGAATAATTATGTTAAAGTAATTACACAGAATGCCTAATGAGTATTTTTTTATGGGAGGGGGTGGGCAGCGTCTGCCCTTATCTCCTTCCTACCATCCCTGGGTGGTGATTAAACTCACATTTACGCCCCCCCCCCTACACACCCACGTCATGCTACTGTAGGGAATGTCCCACAGACACCAACACCACCGGGGTAGTGTGGAGATCCATGACCTTTGACCTGTGGGATGCCACCGCCGCTCTAATGTCGAAGATCTCACCTGGATGTCTGTGAGCTCCTTCACCAACCTGGAGGCCAATGGTGGGAAGTCTTCCTTGCAGGGGATCAGCAAATTCTGTGAGGAAACAGACAGGAGCCGTTCAACCGGAGAAAATAGTCTGTGATTAAATAATGCAGGCAACAAATCTATGCCAGTAACGTCCTACTTAACATGCACAAATGTGTAGAGACAAAGGGGTCATGGTACATCTGCTGGCTGTTGTTTTTTTGGCTGGATATGTATAATAAAATTAAAGCAGGTATGTGGTAAGAAGATCGTACAAACCTCCCCCTGGTACAGAATGCGTCCCACTGGGCTCACCACACAAGCAGTACCAGACCCAAAGATCTCCTTGACTCTGTTCTCCTTCAGTGCACGCAGCAGATCTGCCATGGTGATGCACCGCTCAGAAACTTTAAACTCCTCCTACAAAGTGCAGGCCGCCAACTGTGAGTGCAACAGGGGTCCTACCCTCAACATCAAAATCACTGCTAGTTCATGTATATTTTATGGACTGATGTTAACTCAGCTCCTATTGGCTAAAGACATGTTATGACATCTTCTGTCGCGGCCAATGACCATGGGCCCAAAAGAAGACGCATCATTTCTCTCATTGCTGCTCCAACTGTGGGATGGGCACCTCTTACCCATTTTTGGGAGAGTTCCAGAATGCTCTGGCGTGTGATGCCAGGCAGGATGAGGCCATCTAGTGGTGGTGTTGCCAACTCCTCCTCTGGAACACAGAAATGCAAGAGGGTTGATATTTCTATGGTGTGCCATCAAATAGCAGGAAAGGGCAGAGGATCTATGTCTGCTGCTATTCTGAACCTCAGGCTAGACCGTAAATAAACCGGTGGATGCAGCAGGTCTTCGTCAGCCTACTGGGGTCTTCAGGACCCCTTTCTGACTTCCTGGTTCTTCATGTCACCCCCTATAAGAGTAACTGGTCTACCTTCCCTCCACATACTGGGGCACGGTGAGCCAGGAGCCTATCCCAGGAAGCAGAGAGCACAAGGCAGGGAGACACTGTGGATGGGATACCAGTCCATCACAGGGCACACAAACACACTGTGCATTGCCGCATAGCAATTTGCATGTTATTTTTGGACTGCAGTAAGCAACAGGAGTACCTGAGGGAAACCTGCACAGCACAGGGAGTCCATAGCAGCTGCAGGGCCACCCGCTGAGCCAACATGCCGCCCCATCAGATCAGATCATATATTATCCTCAAATTCCCAGAATGCTCGGCACATACATATTCCCTAGGCTGCGTCCTCTTTCCTGTTAATATTACTAATTTTCTTGATGTATCAGAGGTCTTTCAGAAAACCTTTGGAGCTGTTTTGTATGACTCACATGCAGCAGAATAAAGATTGGAACTATGCTTGCTATCATTGATCCACTAGTTGGTCTGCAAATGCTTCTGTGTAATAAGCATGGTTGATGATTACCGCCATCTTCGTTGGTCCAGTAGATAAAAATATTCATTGTGCCAACTTCAGTGATCTGAAGGTCATCTCCGTACAGCCAGAGGACCTGCTGGCAGCCTAAGTCCGCAGCCTCATATTGTGCGTAGATCGTGGCTCCATAATTCCTGCAGAGGTTGAAGACACATATCTGAATGACATCATTGCCATGGTTGGTCAATGCACAGTCCGACGATATCGCAATGCAAGGGGTCTTTCTTAACGTCATAAAATGTCAAGTTATTGATTAGAACAGTGTTTCCCAACGCTGGAGGGAGCAAATATGTGCTAGTCTGTGGGTCCCTGAAGACCGGGTTGGTAAGCACTGGATTAGAGAATAATTAGCCTGATTACTTTATTATGCAAAATTGACATTCCCCCTATTTATATCCATGATGGCATCCAGTCTCCTGTGACCTCTGACACTCCAGAATGATCTCAAAGTGACACTGTCCCCTCAACAAGATGACTGAGCCAGTTGGACTTCCTCACCCTCCTAACTTGCAATCTCCGGTTCCACCTTTCCAGGCCCGGACGTATTTGGTGTCTGCCCACAGGGACACAGGTTTGATCCCAGTGCTGAAGTAGGACCCGACCGGACTGAGGATGACGAAGAGCAATGCACTGGTTGGCTTCTTTACACCCAAAGAAGACTAGAAAAGAGAGAGAGCGATATACATACACTTATGTTCTGGTGAACCCATCGTAAGTTGAAAATATCGTAAGCCGAGTACGAATACCATATGATAAATAGACAAATAACTATACGATACATTGTTAAACACTGTATGAGATGTTTACGCTGGCAATCACTACAGAGACTGGAAGTACGGCTACATAGATACTGCCATCGCTTGGCATCAGTGGAAATTATCGTACAGCATATCGTTAGCCTGGATACAAATCAAATTTCAAAGTTTGGTCTGACGACTAGTTTGGATCGCTATCGCTCTATCGAAAAGTCAAAATATCGTAAGTTGAACCACAGTAAAGTGAGGAGCATCTATACACAATATGAACCGGTGACAGGTGTCCTCCTGCTGCAGTGATACACCATAAAACACCTGGACCACCCAGGGAACAGGCTATTGCCCTGCTACGCTTGCTGAGCATCAAACCCAAAAAGTAACCAAGTATGCTACTGGAACCATGTCATGCCCCACCCAGCCCATGCTGATGCTGAGTAACTAACCCTAACATACACCTAGCCTGATTATACAGATGTGCTGGAAGCTTCATTGACATTCTTGTAGAACCTCTGGCTTGAAGAATGAACAGGTCAGCTGACACTGTCCCTGGACAGCAGATGAGCATGGCGCCCCCCCCCACCTCAGTGCCTATGAATGTGGGCCGGATGTAGAGACTTGCAGAGTCCGACCGTGGGACCCAATCCTGGTCTATCTTCACCAGCTTCCTGATGCACTCTAGAAGCTCCTCGCAGTCAAAGCTCTGCAGAGAGAAAGAGGACAAGAAAACACAAAAGGGATATGGGCATTGCCATTCAGGATCAGTTTAGGACAACTATGTTGGCTTGGGAACCGCAGGATGGTTCCGGCAAATTCTCTACGGCAGATCAAGGTGCTTACCGGTAGACAGGCCCTCTTCGCAGACACCGCCATCCTCTTCATGTTCAGCATCGGCCGGAAGAGACGCACCTGGCCGTCCTGCCCCCAGTATGCCTTCAGACCCTCAAAGAGCTTGGAAAACACCAGAGGCGTGACAGCAAAGGATTATGGGAAGGAGCAAGTGATATAAAGACTAAGTCTAACATGTGGGGCTGGATCTATGTCACGGAGTTGCCACTGAGGGGGCTTCAAGCTCGATCATCCGCACCCCTGAGTAATGCTCTCACCTGAATGGCATAATGCAGAGCCGAACACCCTGGGTGGAAGGAGAGCTGGTGCATCGGGCCGATGCGCGGGTGCTGCCACCCCCCAGCTTTGGTCCACTCGATCGTCAGCATGTGGTCTGTGAAGAACTTGCCGAACACCAGCTCCGACTCATCAGGCTTGGCTTTGTGCGTGGGGGACAGTTCGACGACAGTGTCCGAGGCCTGAGAGGGGAATGCGGTCACACGCCAGCGTTTGCTCAATACAGTATGTACAATCCCAACTCCACCCAAACAAAAACAACATGCTTAAACACAAACAAAATGCTTGGAAACTCTTCAAGTTGTCTAAGGAAGAGGCCTTTTTCCTTATTGGGACATCCCCAGAAGGTCTAATTTTCATGTTTAGCGTTTTTTTGAGGAAAAATGGCTAAAAGAAGGTTAAGAAAGCACGTACTTCATACTTCAGCTAACACGGGCCAATTCGCACTGGAATGCATCACAGTGGGCACAACAGCCTCGTCTGCAATCCCTCTAATGTTAATATTTCATTCACTTACCCCCATCTGTTTTTCATTACGTTTATTTTCCACTGTGAGAACTGACACACTTTACCCTGTTTCATTTACTCAATAGTCCACACATCCCCCACCAGACTGAAGGCGATGGATGTGTTTATCCGTGCGTGTCTGCCTGTGAGTGTGTCCGGTAGGAATGCCGTGGGGGACCGCAGTACAGTCACATGCTACATAGCAGCATTTCGGTCAACAGCGTACAGCATATATGGCAGTGGCTTATCGCCTAATGACAGCATAGCCCTCGTGACATAACAGCACAGTGTGTTACTCGTGTGTTTGTGGTGATGCTGGTGTAAACAAACCTATAAAAGTATAGCACATACAGTTATGAACAGTACATAGTGCAAATAGGTCATAATGATAATAAACAACTATGTTACTGGTTTATGTTTTTACTATACTGTGCTTTTTTATAGATATTTTAAAATGTACTATTCCTACTTAAAACAAAAGTTTACTGTAGCCTAAGTGTGTAGTATAGGCTATACCGTCTTTGCGTAAGTATTACTTATAATGTTCACACAATGATGAATTCGCCTAATGACACATTTCTCGGAATGCATCCCTGTTGTTAAGCGACACGTGAACCTGCAGGTCTCCTAGTCACAGGCAGGGGGCAGTCACAGGCCCACTGGCTCACAGATGACGACAGGCGATTATGTGCGTAGCCTGGTAAGCGGAACATCCGAACAAGGCCAGACACAAGGATTAGAAACTGTCACACGTTTGTGCAATCCCAGATTACCGAAAACAGCCAAGGTGCACAGAACTCCATCACACAGTGGGTGTTCCCGCATGTTACTCTCCATTTTAGCTCTCTGCTCTGCTGTAATTTTCTATAACTTCCCTTTGGCAACGTAGGCAACAATCTTTTCTAAAAATATCTGCTGGAACTTAATACGCCTCATGCAGGGAGACAGGACATACTAAAATGGAAATGCAGGACTGACGTCGTGCACTTATAGCACTATGCTGCACGTCTGATGGGATGGTGAGATATAAAAGGAGAGGGAAGACAGAACAGTGATCCCACACCTACAAGCACACTAACGTGGGGGGGTATTGTGACTTTAAGGGGTTAGCCAGCTTCCCCCACAGTATGCCAGCTCTGCATGTCCAGATCCAACCTCCTCCAGGCTCTTACCCCCTTAATAGGGTCTGGGACCAGCATGCACTGCTGCAAGTTTGCACAACAGCTGCAAAATGTCATTCTCTCCATTCCTCTGCGTATCTGTCCTCCCCCCTTCCTGCGTGTCAGCCCGGCCACGTGTATGTTTACCCGTCTTTTTGGCCCCTTTCGTCATTTCATGACAAACATTAAATCAAACATCTTTTCCAGACAGTCGTAAAACAAATGCGTTGTACCGTGGCTGGAAAGTCCAAACACAAACCAGACACAGCATGCTGCAAATATAAGATAAATTTTAAATCCAGTAATGTGCAAATAAGTAAATGTTAAATAAAGTTTCTATTTCAGATTTCAGCAAGATTTATATCATCTATGGATTTATTTCTCCTCATTCTATAAAACTTTATTAGAAGTGAAACAGGAATGCAGTCACCATTTGCCAAGAGAGAACAGAGGCGACTGTGTACGGGTCACATACGACAGTTTATCTGGCTCCTGATTCTGAACTGATTTCCTGCCAGGGATCATGTGACTCAGCGGCTTCCCCGGCCTTGACAGTAGTTCTCATTCCTAATCCCTACCTGTGTCCCAGAAGCCTACATACCAGTGAGCCCCGGCTGACTGGGATCTGCAGCGATCTCAAGCTAGACAGTCTCCCCTCGCAGGATCCCAGCCCAAGGACTCATGGCTCATCCCCAGGGTGTCACACAAGAGGAACCAGGGAAGCCCTGGGCGCCGACTCCAAGTCTGACCTCGACCAGAGTGCGCGTGGACTTGGGGGAGTGAAGCAAAACACTTCAGCTGCCAGACCACCTTTGACCAGGATACAGGAAAGCACACAGAAAGCGGCGAAATCTTGGCCTCAACCCACAGATTTGGGACATTTTTATTTATTTTTGGATGGAGAGGGAGTAGACATTCAGGATGCCTGCTATTGGGAGCTGTTCTGATTTGACAGGAGAGACGTTTGATTGGATGCACCTGAGAAAAAAAAATCTACATAGACCTGAACTCAAAGGCAAGTGTTGTGATTATGCCAGACACTGTTCTTTGTCACACCCAGCAGCGATGAATGCAGTTCCTACAATTTCTGCCCGCATGGTTTACTTTGGCCCTAATGTCCCATTACCCATTTTACACTAAGATATCACTTACCCCAGTCCCACGGTGACGACATGTGCTGTTTTATTATAAAATTAAAGGGGGCTTGCCTATCCTATGTCTCGGGGAGGCGTAACAGTTAGCAGATTGTCATAATACTGCAATATGAGCAAAAGTACACAGCTATATGAGCAAAGAGAACAAGAGGGAACAACGGATTTACTGTTCTAATTCAGTGTATGAAGAAACTCACCTTAAACGTTGCCATATGTCCTGCCTCTCCATTCTGACATTCTTTACATGAACCCTAAAAAAAAAAAAAAACGTTAACTGTAAGTAGAAAATACCTCTACACAAAAGCAAGTAAACCAATGATACGTAACGTAAAGAAAATAATATTTAAAACTATATTAAATGTATACTCTTTTTGTTTTGGGAACTAGAAGTATTATAGCAAAGAAAACGCGGTTAAATTTCAAGCTGCCATTTTGAATAAGACATATGAGTAGGCGAGGTTAAATGTAGGTACATTTTGGTGTTTTAAAGTAAATTGTAAATTGCAAAGTGGAAGTCACATTTCAGCCCTTCGGCTCGTTTGCCGGACAAGCAGCCGCTCGTTGAGCACGACATTCCTATAATCATTTAAAACAAGAAAAACGCCCTTTTAAATGCACCAGAACGCTACAAAATGCGTGCGATAGCATAAATAAATATAGAAATCGCCATTTTTGCCTGACAGTAAGCGTTTGAGCGGCGGATTATAGCAAAATGCTTTCAAAATAAATGTACTGGAATTCCAAAACAAAGACCTTATTTTGACATCTATCCAGTGACGTAATGCATAATGTGACATTGGTAAAGTCAAAATAATTAATCCGTTTTCCTTAACCAATCGTCTGTCAGTGTGCTAGTTTCGACTAACTACTATATTTAAATATTACCGTAGACGGCTTATTTCGCGCAAGGCAGCCAAACGTTAAAGCTGCGCTACGGTTTTCCTACTTAATCGCGCGAATTAAAGACCCTACGAAAATGTCACCGGACATGTGTAGGCAGGCAGGGTTACACAGACACAGCATGCAACGTAAAATCTAAGAGAAGCGGCTGCCGTTGTCCTGCTACGGGGAAGGTTGTACCTTGAGAGATGCGGCGCTTTCGGCTGATGCGCTCGCCATGATGAATGCGGAGAGAAAGCTGCGCGCCGTCAGCGCTAGTTAAACCGATTACAGATTAAGCGCGATGAACACCAATGTACAGCTTCATCGAGGCTCAAGCCTCGGTTTTTATGCAGATGGATTACATCCCGTTAGCCGCACAAAGATAATTATTTACAGCATAAGGCATAATTAATTAGGCATGGAAAAAATTGGTGGTAGTAATGTATGGGACTTCAGACTTAGGACTTTGAATTAGATGAGGGAAATTGCTAGGTGAGCTTCTGCTCCTTGGTCCCTGTTAGGTGTCTCAGACTCACAGGTAGTTGCAGTGTGCAGGTTGTCATGGTGTTGGGCTCCCTGATACGCAACCAAGTGCCTAACAGCTCAGGGGAGTCACTTTCCGGGAGGCATGCAAACACAAACACACTGGAGGGGTTACTTATGTCCCAACACAACCAAGAGCACACGTGGGATAGTCTGACAGCGCAGTTTCACGCAGCTACCCTCCAACCTACAAGTATGGCGAACATTTTTGCAGTGTATTCGATTCGGAATTTAAGTGACACTGCAAGCCAGGGAGTGGCGGGTTGTTCCATTGTGGTAGAAAATCAGAGAACAGGGGAAGGGGCCGGCTGGAGAAGAAGTGCATGATGGGAGTGAGGCAAGCCTGGACTTGTTGGTCGGTATTTATGTCGTTAACTTCAACACCATGTACATACACTGTGACATACCCTCATGCATTACATGGTACAAATACAATACGTCAGATTTGTGTAGTTTTAATAGCCCCTCTTTGTGACTGTATGGCCTGGATAAAGATTTCTGTTACTTCACAGCATGCATCCATAACCACTTTATAAAAAATAACACGCATCGTTAAAGATTATGCTCAGGAATCTCGATCTTCCTTGCGGTCAGATTTAATCAGCCTGGGTCAGTGAGGTCATAAAAGAAATCAGAGGACCAGACATTTCAGACTAAATAAAATGGGCAACTGGGCCAACTGTGAAAGAGACTGTTGGGGGAAGTTACTCACAAAAGTAATCCGTTACAGAGAGGGGTGGAAAGTTCAGGTCCAAGAAGGAAAAATTCAGACCAAGGTCTTATTTCAAACAACCAGCTGGATCCTCTGTAACCATTTATACTGAACAACTCTGGTAAATAAGACATCTGGTTCAGTGACATCAAGGTTGTCCTATTAACTACAAATCTCTCACATATGTGTAATATTCATGAACGATTAATCACTGATGTCATACATACAATGTAAGTTTGTGACATGCTACTTTTATATCAGTCATTTTTATGTATACAACCTCATTATTATGGTTGGAGTCAACACAAACAAATAAATAAAAATTGGTACTTAAAACAATTTCAAAATGTAATAGTTTAACGTTTTGTATTCAAACTATGACGCAGAGGTGTATATTTAATGAAAAAATGCATGTGGAATTTGCTAACTACTGCAGTGCATGATGGGTATGATATTTGGAGGCTACTTAAATTTCATTATCTGCAACTGGCGTATGCAGGCCCTAGGTGTGAATTTGGAAGGGAGGGTGGGGGGGCATGGTCCATTTTGGTACAGTTGTTCTGCCACTGACTCAACTGTTGGTTGAAATAAAACTTTGGTGGGATTTGTACTTTCTGGACCTGAACTTTCCATCTCTGTCTGTAATGGATTGTGAGTAACTTCCCTAGCCCAGGAAATGAATGGTATCTTTGAAGGATGATAGTATCAGATACATATTTTATATCTGGATTTTCATTCATAAAAGTTCCTGCCCCCACAGGGATACCTATCAACGGTTCTTGACCTTGTCTTAACAGCCAGATTGTAATACGCTTGTTAGTTTGAAACACGAGGCATTTGACCTCAATTTGGCATCGGTGTCACCTTGGCATTCGTCACCTGAGTAAATATACACTTGTGCGGGTGGGTAAAACAGTAAGCCTTGGATGAAAGGCTCTGCTAAACAACCAGGCAAAGATTATAATGCTAGACAAGGTCTATAGGGTAACTGACCTCGATACAGACTGGGGTAGGGCTTAGGGAAAGTTATGTGGTGACATATTAATGTAATCGGTTTGAATAGCACTTACAGTACATCGCAGTACATCATCTCCTTATCATGGGAGTAGTGGGATAGTAACTCCTTCTGACCAGTCAAAATCATTACGAAATCTTGACACATTATCTTCAAAGGCCAAGCCATAGTCAAAGTAAACTTTATTGTTATCTCAGTTATATACACATATACAGTGAGACGAGAGATGACATGATGAGGTGACTCCAGTTTCTACAGTTTATAAAAAAAGCACATAAAGTACATATATATTTATATATATAAACTGTAAATATAAACTCTAAACAAGTACAAATGTGCAATTTAGTACAAAAGGTATTTTTGACATTCAGAAATTGTGTAAAGGTTGCATGTAATTATGTGTATATTATATATGCATGAGATCAGCATCAGTTCAATGGAAATATACAGTCAGTCTATAAAAAATACAGTAACTCTGAGACCGTATGTCAGTACTGCCTCTCACTGGGTTACACTGGGGTAACGTTCCGATAACCCTATCGTAAGGTGAAAATATCATAAGGCGAAAATGCATTTTAATATAGCACACCTAAACTTAACAAACATCATAGCCTAGCCTAGCCTACCTTGAACGTGCATTGGCCTACAGTTGGGCAAAATCATTAACAAAAAGCCTATTTCATAATAAAATGTTGAATATCTCATGTCATTTATTGAATTATGTACTGAAAGTGAAAAACATTTATTTATTGTGACGTCGAAATATAGTAACAGGGACCATGGTAACCCGGATAGCGTCTGCACATGTAACGTTGGTGTGTTTTGTGCATGTAGCAGCATATAAGACCGATGTGTAAAGTGCAAAAGTGCAAAGTAGAGCTCAGTTCACAGTTCAGGGGTGTGTTGGGGGGGGCAGGCAGTGTGTTGAGGAGTCTGGTGGCTTGTGGGAAAAGGCTCTCAGTCTGGCCGACCGGGCTTTGATTGATAACATCTGCCAGATGGGAGCAGTGAGAGGAGGGGGTGTGAGGAGTCCATGCAGGGGGTGTGAGGAATCCGTGTGAGGAGTCTGTGCGAGGGGTGTGAGGAGTCCATGCAGGGGGTGTGAGGAGCCCGTGTGAGGGGTGTGATGAGTCCGTCAGGGGTGTGAGGAGTCTGTGCGAGGGGTGTGAGGAGTCTGTGTGAGGAGTCCGTGCGGGGGGTGTGAGGAGTCCGTGTGAGGAGTCTGTGCGAGGGGTGTGAGGAGTCTGTGTGAGGAGTCCGTGCGGGGGGTGTGAGGAGTCCGTGTGAGGAGTCCGTGCGGGGGGTGGGAGGAGTCCGTGTGAGGAGTCCGTGTGAGGAGTCTGTGTGAGGAGTCTGTGTGAGGAGTCTGTGCGAGGGGTGTGAGGAGTCTGTGTGAGGAGTCCGTGCGGGGGGTGTGAGGAGCCCGTGTGAGGGGTGTGAGGAGCCCGTGTGAGGGGTGTGAGGAGTCTGTGTGAGGAGTCCGTGCGGGGGGTGGGAGGAGTCCGTGTGAGGAGTCTGTGTGAGGAGTCCGTGCGGGGGGTGGGAGGAGTCCGTGTGAGGGGTGTGAGGAGTCTGTGTGAGGAGTCTGTGTGAGGAGTCCGTGCGGGGGGTGTGCATGCATCTAAAGAGCCGAAGATGTTTACAACATGAGTTTCAGCCCAATAAATTTTAGAGATCTCGGAGTGAATCAGTGCAGGGGGAAAGGTTAGTCGCAGTTTCATCATAACCCATAAAACTGGGCCAGCAAACCAACTGTAACAGTCAGGTCAGTGGGTGATTAATGAGGCCGCATTGCTGAAATCATAAAACAATTAATGCTAATCTGTGCTACTTCACCCTAATACAGTGTCCTTGAGAAGACTGACTTCTGAGCCCTGATATCTGAGTTCTTTGGACCAGTCAGCACTCTGACATTAAAAAGTAAAGTGAGACTTCAGCTAAACCCTTCTTAATTTTTCATACTGTGTGCCTGTTACTTATATATAATTTTAAATCTAGACACAGTATAAAAATAGGATAGTTTGCAAGATTCTGTTCACAGGTAGTGTAACAGAATTATAACAGCCACCAGGAACAGTATGATTCATCTTAATGACTTGGTATTGTTTGCCGTGCATAAATCAACTATATTAAGCTTGGGTAACACATGTAATTTTTCATTCACATCACTGTAGCCATATAACTGCATGTGCCTACGTATGATTATTAGTGCAACAGTGGCTTGAAACTGTTCGTATATGCAAAGCCAGTGTAAGTATCATTCATAAGAGTAAATTAAATCTGATTAATTAACGGGTCTGCTAAAGCAACAAATCAGGATGTGATCTAGTACAGGCAAAAGGACCGCACTCTTTCAGAGTACGTGGGACTAAATGTAGAATTCAAAGTTTCCACTCGGGGGCGACGTTAAATTACACAAGGAGCAGAAGCGCCGTTATATAATTTCTAGCCACACAATTAGATATTACTTGGCATTACTAATGCTCAGCACTTGCGGAAATCCGGTAATAATGTACATGACAGCGGTCATCTCGGAGGCGCACTGCTGCATGGATGTTACGCAGGTGCGGCTCTGTAGCGTAAGAACGCCCTTAAAAAGCACGCGTCAGCCCGCTGCGCTCCTCTGAACTCCCGGCAGGAGCCTGCGTTTGTTTGGAAAAAGAAAAGAAAAGGAAAAAAAAAACAGAAAAAGCGAAAGAAATAACAAAAAACAACTGAGCAGCCTTCAAACCACCACGTAGTGTTGAGTCGTAAACGAAGGATAACTCGGGATAATAAAGGTATTTCTAATACACGGAAATTAATTTTGGTGGTGTTGTAGCAAGAATTAGTATGGTGAGCAAAGCTGGAAGTCTTTATGATATTTTAGTCTCTCCTTTTCATTTATAATTCCCTTCAGTAGTTTAAATGAGGCATTTTAAAACGAGTTTTGATAAGCCGAATAGTCAGTGAAACGGCAGGAATCTGTAGGGTTTGTAAAATTACTCAGCGGGTCAAACGTGCCCATTATCATTATGGATCCATTCATTCTAGTTGCGTAAAAACATCAGGAACATGTTACACGTCTTTAGAAGGCAACTTGACTAATCTCAAGTTTAATTATAGTGTAGCACCGGCTGCTTTTGATTAAAAAAAAAAAAAACTGGTTGCTTGACTTATCGTAAGTTAAGAATGGTGCCGTCTTAGCATTAAAACCGACGTTGTGGATGGATCTGTTTTTTGATGCATTTATACACCTTAGTTCATAGTTCGTTAGTCCCTCTGTGCGTGTGTTTTTTGCGGTAAACCCCAACCGGGGTGTGTAAGTGTGTCCCTTACGCTGCTTCCCTCGTTAGCCGCCGCCCAGCGATGGACGCGGGTGTGATGCCCAGGAGGCACAACCCAGTGGACAGCATATGCAGGAAGCTGCGCACCATCCAGCGCCGCGACCAAGAGGCTAATTCTCCCTTCCAGATCCCCAAGTTCCGGTCGCGCAGCTATGACAGTCCGCAGTGCGGCCTGCGGCACAACCTGGAGGCGATACTGAAGAAGCGTGCAGTGCGCAGTGACAGCGAGCCCCCCAGTCCCTCCACTCCCGGAAGACCATGCACGCCCCACGATGCAGACCTGCTGACCCCCACCGGCTCCCCCGGAGTCGTACACACCCCATCTTACTTGGCCACGCCTACCAACACCACCTATACCATTACCAGCGCTCTGGTTGACCGCCGGGGACCCAGTGAGGGGGGGCCGTGGTCACGAGTCTGCTCCACCCCCGCTACCCAGACCAACGAAGGCTTCTTCAGCTTCTCCCGCTGCACCAACTACACCAAGCGGGGGGGCCGGCTATCTGACGGGGACCCTCAGGAGAGTCCTACCCCCAGCATGCTCTCCTACAACCTCAACTTCTGCTCCACGGACAGCTCCAACCTGCAGGATGGGGGGGGAGGCTACCCCGCTCTTGTGGTGAAGCGACTCTCCATGGGGGATGGTGAGTAGCTGGGGTCTCAGATACCAGACCAGTCCTTAGGGAGTAAATATGTAGACCATCTGGGGGGGTGGGGGGGGTCCCCGAGGACTGGTCTTAGAAACACTGTCATATAACGACCAGCCAGATCTCCTGCTTTTGGGGCTTTAGTGTTTTTCTCTGTCTGTGGCTGGAGAAGCAACAATTTGAAGTTAGTGTCTTGGAACAAAAGCATCGTTACATCAAAGGAAGGGGGGTTTCTGGAGGGGGTCCGTACCTCTTTATCCCCCCACCCCCATCCCCCACATCCCCTCAATTACCTTGCACAGGTACCTTGTGCCCCTCGGAGGACCGGAAGGAGTCCATGGCGGAAATCAGTCTCATCTGTGAAGAGGACCTGCTGGACACCATCTTTCACGCCTGCGACACGCAGCGCAGAGGTACGTGCCAGCGAGGCGCGTTCAGGTGTGAAGCAGCTCATTGTCACTTCGCCCCAAACGCGCAGGTCTTTTTTCGCCGTGTGGGATGTGTCGTATGAAACGGCGGGGAACCTGGGACGGTGGAGAGAAACCGTCCAACTTGTGTCTTGTAATTTTTTCCGAGTCCGTGTTGCCATGGCAGCGTTTTGGGTTCTGCTGTGTTCCGCCGGTCCCGGTGCGCCCCGTATGAGTCAGTGGCGTGGGCGGTGCGTGTTACAGAAGTTCTCACTGCCCCCTCATCTGATGCATACGCCAGCAGCCCGCAGCGGGATGACTTCCGGTGAGTCGCCGTGGCGATGCCTCTAACTCCGGCCCCTGCTTCCAGGCAGAGTGTACGTGTCCTGCCTTGTGGACTACCTGCGGCACACCACCAGCCGAGGCTCCGAGGACAGCGGCCTGGAGGAGCTTTGCAACATGCTGGATCCAGAGCGCAAAGACGTCTCCATCGACCTGGACACCTACCACGCCATCATGAAGGAGTGGATCGAAGACTGCCGCAACCAGGGGTATATACGGAGGGGCAGCCGGCAGGCCCAGTGGGCTGGGTGTCTCCTAGAGGGGGCAGTAATTTCAGAGACTGCTGGCGTATTGCTTAGCTGTCACGTGGGGGTGTGATGACGCACTGCAAAGGCTGCTAGTGTGGGTTTGGTGGATTTGGAGGGTTCCGGAACAGCACGGTACTCAAAGCCGTGGCCGAGATGCCGCAGTAAGACTCTCTCTCTCTCTCTCTCACTCTCTCACTCTCACTCTCACTCTCTCTCGTGTAAGTTTGTGTGTTATCACTTGCTTGTCAGATTCTGATTTCGTTTTTTCACGTCTGTAGATTTCAATAATGCCTGTTCCCCTCGCACCAGGGACTGCACTCCGGAAGACCTGACACAGGAATCGGTGAAACTCAAAGACAGCTTGTCAGGTAAATCTAATAGTCATTTGGTGTGTTCTGAGTCAGACTTGCTATTCGGATGGCTGGTTGGTTATGTACACAAGGGTAGTAGGCAGATGGGGGGTGGGAGGGGGGGGGGTTCTTCACCTGTAGATGAGGCATCTGCTCATTTTATAAATCATGAGGGAATACATTCAATGTGCTTCAGCTCAAGTTCAGAGTGGATGCAAATGTTTAATGGCCTGGTTCCCATTTATGTTCTGCAGTTGTAATTTTTGAAGGGTTCCTTGACAATAAGATTAAAGAACAATCCTTGGGGGTGTCAGCTTGATGCTGTTGTTAAGCAGCTTTGTCGAAAGGCATCAGCCAAGCATCTGTGATTGACAGTGAAGTGTGTCATTCCCCCGATGCCGGGTCTCTCTCCCCTGGGCTCCTGCCACGGTCCCCACACAGCCAGGCGATCAGCACTGCTGAACATGACCTCCGGCAGCCTGGAGGCGTTTGGGGGCGAGGCTTCACGGGGTGATCTGTGAGTACAAAACTGACCCCCCCACCATTCTGCTTTGTGGAGTCCAACATGCAGACTGACGAAAAAGACCTTGGTGTTGCTTTAAGATATTTTGACTTGGAGCCTGTCAGAATGGGAAGGAAGTTAATAAATGACAACTGGCTAATCAGACATTGCTTAGGACCCCGAAATGGCTGGGCGGCCCTGACTCTGATCGGTTTGAAAAGAGCATCAAACTATTAGAATCCTATCTCCACTTGGTTCTTTGAATATAAAACTTCTAATATGATTGTGTGTGTGAGAGAGAAAGAGAGAGATCTTGCAAGTGGGTGTATTGCGTATATCAGTGTTTCCCAACCCAGTCCTCAGGCAGACAGTCCACATTTTTTCTCCTTCCCAGCTTCCAACCAATCAAGAACTCAGAATACCTGGAATGGGTGTGTTGGGAGCCGGGAGAAAACAAAAATATGGACTGTCTGGGGTCCCTGAGGACTGGGTTGGGAAACACTGGCGTATATACCTGTGTGGTTATGACCAGTACATTGGCCAAAGCTGAATGCCTACACCTGAGGTAATGGAGGATGGTGAGCGAGGCTGACGTGCTGCTCTCTGTGTCCCCAGCGAGACCTCCGACCTGGTGTACTGTGTGGCTGACCTGCAGTTCAACAACCACAAGCTCCAAGAGGAGGTCAGGAAGCTGAAGCAGGCCATGGAGACCATGGAAGAATCCAACCAGAAGCTCATGGAGGAGAACGAGGAGCTCCTGGCCCGGGCCAAATTGTACATCCTCATTTTCATCCATTTCAGCCCCCGGCTTCTGCCCATGTATCCCAAAACTCGTCCAGATCTCCATGTGACCCTGGACTCTTGCCTAACTTTGATGCTTATGGCTTCCATGTTTACCCGAGAGGATTTGGCTGGCAAGGATTCTCCTGAATCCTGTAGGAGGAGATGAACTTTCAGGATTGTTCTGTAGTTCCTGGAGGGGTCTGCAGGGAGGCTAAATTGCAGTCTTGATTGGCTGTTATGAGCGACCTCGTTTGTGAAATGGTCGGGGCATGATCATCCTGTATCTTCATGGCTGATATCTTAAATGCCCTGCATGGTCAGAGCACATGGAACATTTCATTAATTTATTTGTTTATTTAACTTGATGGTGACTGATGTGGCACTGGGTACATCCTGCAGGGGTCAGCAGTCGGCCCAGAAAGAGAAGCTGCTGAAGGAGGAGGTGGAGGTGATGAAGGCTACTCTCAGTGCCTCCGAGGAGGGCCGTGCCCGAGTGTCAGCCCAGAGTAAGCAGACCGTAAGTTTCCGGTCGCGACTGGTTCACCATACTAACGCTGGGGCACATCTAGCGAGTTCTGGACAGTCATGCTCGGTCTTCAGCGCGTGGATTAATAATCAGGAGCATTTTGTCTGCAACCCTGGTTTCAAACATGCATTTGTGAGACATTGTTTTGTTAGTGTTGATAACGTAATTATCTTTGACAGAAAAAAATAAGTATAATTGGTTTCAAGGACCAGGGTTGTGGAGCCCAGCTGTGCACTCTGTTCGACATTTCGTAGGAAGGCCTTTACTTGTAAACTGCAAGGTCAGCCTTTTAGCTGGGACCAAGCTCTGCGCCAAGTCATGTTTTGATGCTGCTGCCACCCTGTGCCTTTGAATAAGCATGTAAGTGCACCATCGCTCCTCTTCTTTTGCAGGAGGAGGAGAATCAAGGCCTCATTTCAAAGATTGCATCTCTTCAAGAGGAGGCACTTTAATTCCACTCTGATCTTCGCTAAGCGAATATTACATGGTTGTCAGTAGCAATAAACATAACTGAACATAAATGTTATATTACTGCATGTAGTATTGAATATTAAATGCCTGTGTAGATGTTACGTGCGTGCTGTAGGTTTCTTGGCTTAAATACCCATTAATAATCCCAAACCCCTAACTTGTAACCAGAACCTTAAGATCACCATGGAGAGTGATGATCTTCAAAAGAAGATTATTGAATTGTGTGACCTCAATACTGACCTCCAAGTAAGTCTGTGTTTTTGGCTGATTCTTCTTTTGCTTTGGTCAACATACGAAGATTTAATTTATCGTGTGGTTCAAATCTAGCTGCAAAATAAGCATCTTTTTTTGCCAGGAATATGGTGCAAGATGGTGGTCTTGTCGGACTTGTCGTCATGTCTTTATGGGGCGTCCTTATATAGGCTTATTTGGTCGACCATGGTAAACAGGAAATATTATGGGATAGTTGTTTTGTATAAAACCGTGTCTTGGAAGATTTGCTAACGAAATGACAAAATTTGTGCACTAAAAGTGAGTGATTTGAGCTTCAGAGATTGTTCTGCATGAAGGTGCCATGTTCCTCTTCCAGGTGCAGATCCACGCGTTTGATGGACTCCTGAATGAGAAGGATGCATTGGTGCTGGAGGTCAGCATCCACCTTCCAGTCAGGATGTCCATCCATCAGCTTATCCAGTACAGCGTCACGGGCCAATCAGAATGTGCGAGCGGTGACTATGGTCTGCTTGGGATGGTGCTGGAGATGCCCAGTCAGCTTGTCTCTGCTTACTGTCTCTCTGGCCTTTACTCTCAGCACAGTAGGCCGTTTATGTGCTGGGAATCCTTACTGCAGTAAGATCAGAACCTGTTTATTTTCATGTCTAACACCTGGCTGCGCTTGGTGTGTTTAGTGTAGGAGCGGCTGAAATACACTGAATATATTTAAAACTAGGCAGGATTTATTTATAGGTTTCTCCTGGTACTGTGGTCATTCCTTTCACTGAGAGGTCTGTCCAGTTCCGTATCATTGTGTCACCTGCGGCTCATACTGTAAATGGCTGCGTTTGGCACGTCTGACCGTAAATTAACAAAGATGTCCTCCCTCTACAGAGAAATCAGCAAATCGAGGAGCTGAAGGCAGCCATAATTGAGTATTCCTCAGTCACTGAGGTGAGCCTGCGGATGCTGGTTTTGAAGGGGGGGGGGGGGGGGGGGGGGGGGGCGGCGATTTTCTGATTACCCACGTGAGTTCGGGGGGGGGGGGAGACTCCTGCCTTGGAAGCAGCTCATTTTTTTACTCTGAATTTTCCCTTTGAAGTCAAAGTATGACTTTTTTTCTTTTATATCAGTTTTTAATAATAAAAATACTAACCTGAGAAACAGTCTTCAGTCTGGACTTTTCTGTGGTACGTGTGTGTGTGTGTGTGTGTGTGTGTGTGTGTGTGTGTGTGTGTGTGTGTGTGTGTTCCTCACTGGCTCCAGGTCCTGAGAGCGGACAAAGCCAGGCTGGAGAGCCAGATGCAGATGATGCAGCCCGATTTGGGGGTGTAAGTGTCTGCCCCTATTCTTCCAAGTGGGCACCTTCTCCCTCTCAAGCATGCAGACACTGAGACCACGCATGTTGTCTGTTCGGCAGTGCCAGTCTCTCCCTCTCGGTGGCGTACAGGCTCAACCAGATGAGTTCGGGGTCTCTGCAGGCAGAGCTGGCTCTCGCTCAAGGGAAACCTGAGGTCAGTCACGCGTCCTTGACCACTTGGGTAGCCAAAGGCCATCCCTGTACCTCCTGCAACCTCCCACGTACAACCGGCACGTTCTGGTCAGCTCGCATATCTTGGTTCTCCCCAGGTCCCGGAAAAGCACTCCTCCTCCTTCTTCGCCTCCTCACTGGATGAGACCTTGGATCGGGAGGTTCTCCTCCTCCTCCAGGGACCCACGCCTGAACAGATGTCCCTGGAGTTTAAGGCAGTCATCAGCAAACTGGTATGGTCCAGCTCAAAGATCATGGGATATATAGGGTCAGATGTGACGTAGCTGGGATGTATAGTCTGAATGAAGTGTGATTCTTGTCTCCATGTGTAACATTTTTCTTTGAAGCCAACTGACTGTCTGTACTGGGGCGGGGTGGTTTCAGAATCAAGACTTTAAAGAGGACAGTTATACAGTCCTGAGTGCAGTGAAGGAGCTTTTTGAGACCTACACACAACTGGACAGTGGCTGGGATAGGAGAATGCAGGTCAGTCGTGTGTGTGTGTGTGTGTGTGTGTGTGTGTGTGTGTG